AACACTCTATTCATGCTACTCTATATACTTTGGGTTCATTGCCTTTGGATGTTGCAAAATATTTTAGAGTATGCTTTTCACCATATTTTATGAATGTATTTGTCTCTTTCAGAATATCATATAATTGGAATCATACAGTGTATAGCCTTTTCAGATTGGCTTTTGTTTAGTAATATGCATTTAAGGTTTTTCCATGTCTTTTCATGGCAGACAGCTCGTGTCTTTTTTAGTGCTGAGTGATAGTCCACCATCTGGATATACCACAGTTTATATATACATTCACCTACTGAAGGACATCTTGGTTGCTTCCAATTTCTGGCAATTATGTATAAAGCTACTACAAATAACTCTGTGTAGATTTTGTGTGAATATAAGTTTTCAACTCCCTTGGGTAAATACCAAAGAGCTCGATCATTCGATTGTATGGTATGAGTATGTTAAGTTTTGTAAGGAATCACCAAACTATCTTCCAAAGTGGCTATACTATTTTGCATTTCTATGTATGAGAGTTCTTGTTGTTCCACACCCTTACTTGTGGAGCATTAGGTGTTGTCAGTGCTCTGAAAATTTGGCCATTCTAATAGCCTTGTAGTAGTTCCTTTGCCTATTTTTGATGGGCATCCAAGTCTTATTTGCAAAAACTTCCTTTCATATTCTATATATTAATCCCCCGTTGACTCTTGACATTGTCAGTGTCTTCTGCCAATCCATTCACTTTGCTCATAGAGTTTTTTGATAAATGGAAGTGCTCTATTTTGATACAGTAACACCCATCAATTTTTTACCACATTTTGGGGGGGGGTCTTAGTGAATAAGTGTTTCTTCGCCCCAGTTTAGAAAGATATTCTCCAATATTTTATTCTAATAACTTTATAGTTTTAACTTTCACATTTAGTTCCTTAATCCAATTGGAGCTTACTTCCATAATGTTGTTTAGTAGAAATCCAAATTTTTCTTCAAAAAGTAGATAGTTTTCCAAATCCTACCTATTAGTCCATCCATTTCCCACTTTTTGATATGACCTCTACTGAATGCCAGGCTTCCATCTATACGGGAATATATGTGAACTCTGTTTAGTTCCTCTGGGCTTTTTTCTTTTATCTGTGCAGAATCATACCATTTTCATTGCTATGGTTTTCTAGTATGTATTCAATTCTCCAATTTGGATTTTCTTTTTAAAAACTGACTTAAAAGAGAACTTAATTTTCCACATAAGTTATAGAAAAATGAGTTGACTTTCTCAAAAAATCCTGTTGTAGTTTTAATTGGAATTGCACTGAGCATACTGATTAACTTGGGAGAATTAAATTCTCCACAACATTAAATCATCCCATGTGGAATCATATTATAACTCTGTTTTATATAAATTTTCCTTGATCTTTAATAAAGCTCTGAAAATATTTGCTCCATAAAGGTCTTTATATTTTGGATTTTGGTAGTTAACCATCAAAGGTTTTTTTTTTTTTTTTGCTATTGTAAATGGTATACTTTTAAAAAACTTAATGTTTGCTAGTTGGTAATTGCCGGCTTTGAGACATACTACTGATTTTTTTTAAAAGATCTTAAAATTTTGTGATATCACACCTACAAAATAACATATGTAACATATATGTATGTTATTAAGTACATTAATGAAATGAACACGTGACAATCCACAAACCCACCTAAATAATTGAACGTATCAGTAACATTGAAGGTTTCTTTGTGTTCTTCCCTGATGCATCCTCATTTCTCTCCATTGGTAACCACTATCCTAAATTTTGCTTCAGTATAGCTGTATAACATATGTATATGTGTTCTTCAACAATATGCTCTTTAGTTCAGTTTTGCTCATTTCTGAACTGTATAAAAATGCTATCATACTGCCTCTTTGAGAAGCAACTAGTTTTTTTCACTCCACATTATGTTTTTAAGATCAATTCATCTTGAAGCATGAGGCTTTTATCTATGGTCTTTCTTTTATTTTCTTTAGGGTTCTTCTGTTGTTTTTTTCTCTTGGCTTGTGCTTATATCATTAATTTTCTTCCTTTCTTCTTCTCTAGTATAAACTTTTAGGGCTGTATTTTTTCCTCCAAGTGCTAGTTTCACTATAGCATTTAATTTCCAACATATACCATTTTTAAAAATCATTCTGTTCTTAGTATTTTCAAATTTTTATTATGATTTTGACTTGAACCATGATTTCTGAAAGATAAATATTTAAATTTCCAAAATATGCTTTTTTAAATGAGCACTTTCTTATTTACTTTTAACTAAATTATCCTATAGTCACAGAATGAAGTCAGTATAAATTCAATCCTTTGGAATTTGTGGAGACCTCCTTTGCAGCTTAGTGTGTGATAAATTTTTGCTAATGCATCTAAGTGCTTAAGTGCAATGTATTCTTTGTTAGGTACAGTATATTATACATGTCCAATAAAGCAAGTTTGATAACCCTATTTCTTATCTTCTCTATCTTTACCAATTTTTTGTTCACTTGACCTATCATTAGTTAGGAGAGCTGTGTTTGAATGAATTTACCTGTCTCCCCTTATGGGTCTATCAAATTTTTTTTCTTTACATAGTTTGAGGCTATTTGACATACAAATTTGGAATTCTTACATCTTCCAGGTGAAGTGAGCTTATTATCATTATAAACTTTTTTATTCTAAATAATTCTTAGTGACTTGAAGTCTCACATTAATATAACTACTCAATTTTTCACTTAGTGTCTGGTATATTCTTTTCCAAAGTTTTATCTTCAAATGAACACATTATTACATTTTAAATGTTTCTCATAAATAACACATAGCTGGACTTTTCATTTTTATAGGAACTGATCATCTCTTTTAACGGGTGACTTAAATCTATTTGTACTTATTGAAACCATGAATATATTTGGACTTATCTTTACCACTTTGCTTTGTGCTTTCTTTTTGTTCCTCTTTTTCCTCATTTCTCTTTTCTTTCTTCTTGTCCTCTTTAGTATGACTGCAATATTTACTTGTTTTATCTGTTTGTTTGCTTTTTCCTAATACCATTTCCCCCTCTACTGTTCTGGGTGCAATATACTCTAGTTCTGTTATTCTTGTGGTAACCCTTAAACTTTTGATGATCACATATAATTTTTTAAGTTTAGGTAATTTTAATACTCCTCCTGATTAATGCAAGGACCAAAACTTACATGCTATTTTGTCCAGTGTTTTGGTTCTATCTTTTTTAACTGCTATAAATTAGAAATTATTATTGCATTTATAATGTTTGTTTACATATTTACCAATTTGTTTACTCACAGCTCTTTCCTATATTATTAAGAAACAGCCTTTTATCTTTAGTAATTTTTTTTCCTTAAAATTTATTTATTTTGATATATAGGTACATTAGCTTTCTTTTGACTTAGGTTTACATGCTACTCATCCCTTCACCCATCTTGCCTCAGATCTCAACAATTTTTTACCATCTTATTGATATTCTTTCATTCAAACAAATTTTTAATTTTCTATCGAGTTGTTTTGATTATTGTCAGGAAGACGGTCAATCGAAATTATCTAGTCTATTACTGGAAACATTAGACATTCATCCCCTATTTCTTTAAAAATATTTAATATGCCCATCTGTTAGTTTGCCTCCAAGACAGCTCCCAAGATCCCTGTCTCCTGGTATTCCCCACCTTTGTTTTTCTCCTCTCACAGTACGCCCGGGTTGGTCTATATGACCAACAGAATTTGGCAGAACTGATGGTGTCTTCACTTCCAAGATGGGGTTAGAAAAGATTGCAGCCTCTCTCTTGGCTGCTTCCTCTGGTGATAGGATCATTTGTTCTGGGGGAAGCCTGTTGTGAGCAGCCCAAAGGAAAGGTCCATGTGGTGAAAACTAAAGCCTCCTGCCAACAGCCATGTGACTGAGCTTGAACGTGGATCCTCTAGTCAAGTCTTAAGAGCGTGTCTCCCTAGCCAACATCTTGAGCACAACTTCATGAGAGACTGAGCCAAAAGCACCCAGGCTAAGCCACTCCAGATTCATGCCCCTCAAAAAATATTTGAGATAATAAACGTTCATAGTTTTAGGGTGATTTGTCATGCAGTAATAAATAACTAGTACAGCTCACTTTAAATTACTTGTCATCTGAGTCATTAATTCTACTTTGCCCTTCATCAGTTGTTCACTTTCCTGGTATGCTCTCATTCCCCTCAGGGTATGATCCATCTTGGTTGGTGATGTGTATCTGCAGGGAGGGGTTGAATTCCAGGGCCCCCTCCAATAAGCCTAGGCTGAAGCCATCATACTTCAGATAGATAGTCTTTGGTGTTTAAATCTGTACCTGTTCTCTGTATTATTTTTAAGAGTTATTTGACTTGGTGATATGCTACCAGTTCTTGGTATATAAAGAGGTTAAGGGCAGGAGGAACACTAAAGGGTCAGACAGTCTGCTTATACCACTCAGTCCAAGCTCAGATATTGCCCTGATGTTCTTCTACGGTCCCCAGCAGAGGCTCAGCTTGTTGCTGTTCTGATCCTCAGTGCAATGGAGCAGGTAATGGTTCACATAGGTCAGCGCATAGTAAAGAAACAGACACCTTCCAAAAACTTGCCCTTACCCAATATCCTGTCTCTGGTGCTCGGCCAGGTTTTGCCATGACTTGGAACTACCTTCTATTACCCCAGGAGTCTTGTCTATGTTTAGCTTTTATGTTTTACAAAGTACAAAGTCATCAATTTGGTTTCTACGACATCTCTAAGGAAGGGTTCGGGGGAAAATTTCTTGCAGGAACCAAGATACCTAATTCATATTTTTATTTCCACATTAAAAACATAATTTGTTAAATTTTTACTTTCCCATTTCTGTCTCTTCCTTTGAATCAAATAGCATTAAACAGGTATTCAAAACTGCATTTCTTGAATAAAAAGAAAGAAAGAAAGAAAGAAAGAAAGAAAGAAACATGACCATCTCAATTAACATACCTGGTTATAGTCTTCAGGAAAGAATTATAAGAATTTATCAACATTTTACACCCACTCACCTGAAATGGCTTCAGAAACGTTTCCTCCATTGCCAGCCTGCCATACTCTGTGAACAGCTAGAAGGATAACCACACACACACACACACACATAAGGAAAACTCAGTATCTGCATGGCTTTCTTCCATTCATTTTTCCCTCTGGCTGTAACATAATACTATATTATTAAATTACGATAATCACTTTAAGGAACCAAGTATTAGATAAAGCAGAGCTACAGTAATTATGTATTTAAAAATTAAGAGCATAAAGTGCATTTTAAAAATAAAGTTTACATTTTAAAGGTAACACTTTTTATATCTAGAATGCCAGACAATTTTTTGTGGGGAAGATGGGGGAGAAAGAAACATGTTAAATGACCTTTCAAAGCAGAACTTGTACACATTAGACCAGAGAGGCATAAACTAAGTAGGATAATTTACAAAAGTTATTGCTAGAGGAAACTTAATGGTACAATAGCCCAGCTTATTACAAAGGCATATAGGTATTTGGTTTAAAAAGTGGAGAATCAAATACACCGCCTTCTTTTTTTACTGCCCTCAACTGAGAGGTACCATATCATTTTGGTGTTGCCAGAAATGTAAGGTTTTGGAGAATATACACTTGAGGTGGGTGACTGTGATTGGCCTCTGGTGAGAGTATTGTCCAGACTGGCCAAGTGGATTTCTCCATATGTACACAGGAAATGCTATTTCATCACATAAGGGTACCAAACCACAGAGGCTTTTCAGAGCTGGGGAAGAATGCTGGCATAGAGGACTCCCATCCTTTGCCCCTTTAGAATAATCCCAAAGTACCACACAGCCTCTCCTATAAAAACTATGGGAATCTAGAAAGCAGAAGATAATAACTAAGCATCTGATTACACTGATTAAATGAAAGTCTGGAATATCATGCCTAAAAGGCAGCTGGTCCAGGGATTAGATCCTTTCATTAGAATCATTTACTAACATTATTTGAATGCACAATCTTTTTTGAGGAAGGATGAGATGTTATTTACAGGAGAATTTTTAAACGATCTCAAAAAAATTACTTACTCAATATCAAAGTTCAAAATCAGTCCTTTTTTAGAAATCCTAAACTGGTATTGAACAGTGCCATGTCACTAACTTAGAAAGTAACTGGCTAGGTTATGACACATGCCTAAAGAAGCAATTGTCCACAGACATAGAAAACAAACTTTGGTTACTAGGGGGAAGGGGGTGGGAAGGGATAAGCTGGAAGTTTGAGATTTGCAGATATTAATATATTAAAAAATAGGTAAACTACAAGTTTATAGTATATAGCACAGGGAACTCTATTTAATATCTTGTAGTAACTTATGGTGAAAAAGAACACGGAAAAACAAATGTATGTATGGTCCTATATGACTGAAACATTGTACTATACAAAAATTGACACAGCATTGTAAACTGACTATACTTCAATAAAAATATTTTTAAAAAGAAGAAATTGTATTTACTCTGAGAAACATCTAACAATTATTCGGTATATTGCCTCTTTGTCATAAATGGTCGGTGTGATGTACTAGAAACATATTTGGGAGTAATGCTTAATGTGAACTCTCAATGTTATTTGTCAGCATCACAGATTACCCTGCTCTATCAGCCTTTGCTATCTGTTAAATTGTACAGGGTTCTTATTGCAAAGAAAAATAATATACTGAAAGCAAAATTTTCTATAAAATATGCAGAGGGAAACTATCAGAGAAACAATAGGTTTTGCTATGTAACCAAGAATAACATGAATTGAAAGAGAGCAGAGGGTATGACAGAGATGTGAACTACCTTTTGGGAATATCTAATCTTTTACTTTTGGGGGATTTAAATGCTGCTTGGAGAGTGGAAGGAGCACTGAGTCCAATCAGAGATCAGATTTCTATTCCCACTCTGCCACTAATTAGCCACATGAGTTTAGGTAAGTCAACTTGTTTTTAGAAAAATTTTTCTCATCCATAAAATATTAAGGATAAATTAGATGTCACTGAGGTCTCTCTCAGATCTAAAACAGAATTCTATGAGTTATCATCAGGTAGTTCCTCGTAGTTCTTAGCTATGAAGTGATCCACAGGGAAAAAATCTGGCATACAACTGATATCATACTAACAATTATTAAATCCCTGCCTATAAGACTTCAATTTCACATTTTGGGTCATTTTTAAACCAAAGGTTCTTTCTCCACTCTAATTTGTCATATATTTTCACATATACAGAGTTGACAGCAAGTAGATTTATTGAAACAAAGGTCTTTGAAAACTGAATTCTAAAGAATATAATCATACAGGGCTAGAATAAGAAACTTGGAAATGGGACAACCTCCATTTGGTTATGTTTTTAAACCTTTCTGAACTGTTACATTTCCAAGCAGAAGAAGACCCAACAAAATCCTAAAGTTCTCCTATACATGCCCCCAAAATTACTATATACACACAAAAAAGACTGTAAATATTGCTACCTGGAGATGCTGAAGATCATCCTCTTGGACATTTTGAGATAAGTTATATACCTTGATTAAGAAACCAAATCAAAATGAGAAAATAATTAGTAGCATCCTAAGCACTTATTTTGTCATTCTCTATTTTTCTAAAATATTAATGATCACAAAATCAAACTCTCTCATATATATTCTTTTATAATGATATTAATAAGACATTGAGAGAGGAGTAAATAAAATCAGAAATAAAAGGATAAATTACAACTGATACCATAGAAATACAAAAGATCATGAGGCTGTTATGAGCAGTTATATGTCAACAAATTGGTAAACCTAGAAGAAATGGATACATTTCTAGAAACATACAATATTCCAAGACTGAACTGTGAAGGAAAAAAATCTGAATAAACCAATTACTAATAAGGGATTGAAACAGGAATCAAAAAGTTCCCCCAAAATAAAAGCCAAGGACCAGATGGTTTCATTGGCAATTTCTATAAAATATTCAAAGAAGATTTAATAACTATCTTTCTAAAAATATTCCAAAAAATTGAAGAGGAGGAAAACCTTCCAAACACATTTTATGAAGCCAGAATTATCATGATGTCAAAACCAGAGCTGGAAACCACCAAAAAAAAAAAGAAAGAAAAAAAAGAGAGAAATAAGAAAAGAAAAAAAAGAAAAGAAAAGAAAAAAAAAGAAAGAAAGAAAAGAAAAATACAGACCAATATCCTTGATGAACACACATGCAAAATCCTCAACAAAATATTAGCAAACTGAATCCAACAATACAGTAAAAGGATCACACACCACCATCAAGTGGAATTTATTCCAGGGATGCAAGGATGGTTTAACACCTGTAACTCAATCAATATAATATATCATATTAACAAAATGAAGGATAAAAACCATATGATGCAGAAAAAGCATCTGACAAAATTCAACATTCATTTATGATAAAAACTCTCAACAAAGTGTGTATAGAGAGAATATACCTCAACATAATAAAGACCATATATGACAAACTCAGATCTGACATCATACTCAATGGCAAAAAGCTGAAAGCTTTTTCTCTAAGATTAGGAACAAGACAAGGATGCCTACTCACACCACTTTTATTCAACATTGTATTTGAAGTCCTAGCTATAGAAGTTAGGCCAGAAAAAGAAATAAAAAGATTTCAAATTGGAAAAGAAGAAGTAAAACTGTCACTATTTGCTATTTCATGATACTATATATAGAAAACCCTAAAGACTCCACCAAAAAAAAAAACAAAAACCCCAAAACCCTGTTAGAACTAATAAATGAATTTAGTAAAGTCACAGGATACAAAACCAATAGATAGGAGTCTGTGGCGTTTCTATATGCTAATAAGAAACTATCAGAAATAGAAATTAAATAAACAATCGTACTTATAATTGCACCAAAAAGAATAAAATATCTAGGAATAAATTTGACCCAGGAGGTGAAAAGATTTGTACACTATAAACTATAAGCCACCAATATAAAGAAGACACATTAAAAAATGGAAGGATAGTCAGTGCTCATGGAACAGAAGAATTAATATTGTTAAAATGTCCATACTACCCAAGCAATCTACAGATTCAATAAAATCCCTATCAAAATGCCAATGGTATATTTTGAAGAACTACAAAAAATAATTCTAAAATTCCTATGGAACCATACACACACAAAAACAACCAAAATAGCCAAAACAATCTTGAGAAAGAATAAAGCTGGAGGTGTCACACACACCATGATTTTAAACTATGCCACAAAGCTACAGTAATCAAAATAGTAAGGTACTGGCACAAAAATAGACCTATAAATCAATGGAATAGAATTGAGAGCCCAGAAATAAACCTATATGTACAAGGACAATTAATTTATGACAAATAAGCAAAGAACATACAATGGAGAACGGACAGTCTCTTCAATAAATGTTCTGGGAAAACTGGACAGCCACATGCAAAAGAATGAAACAAGACCACTATCTTACACTCTACACAAAAATTAACTCAAAGTGGGTTAAAGACTTGAATGTAAGACCTGAAACTATAAAATTCCTAGAAGAAAACATGGGTACTAATCTCACTGACATCCATCTTAGTGATGTTTTTGTGAATCTGATTTGAAAGGTAAGAAAAATAAAAGCTAAAATAAACAAATGAGACTACATCAAACCAAAAAGCTTTTGCACAGCAAAGGAAATCATCAACAAAATGTAAAGGCAACCTACTGAATGGGAGAAGATATCTGTAAATCATACATCCAATAAGGGGTTAATATCCAAAATATATAAAGAACTCATGCAACTCAATATCAAAAAAAAAAAACCCCACCCAATCAAAAAATGGGCAAAAGACCTAAACAGACATTTTCCTAAAGAAGACATACAGATGGCCAATGCGCACATGAAAAGATGTTCAACGTCACTAAACATCAGGGAAATGCAAGTCAAAACCACAAAAGATACTGTCTCACATCTATTAGAATGGCTATTATTAAAAAGATAAGGAATAATAAATGTTGGAGAGGATGTGGAGAAAAGGGAACTCTCTTTCACTGTTGGTAAGACTGTAAATTCGTGCAGCCACTAGGGAAAACAGTATAGAGATCCCTCAAAAAATTAAGGACAGAACTACCATATGATCCAGCAATTCCACTTCTGGATATTTATCTGAGGAAGACAAAAACACTATTCCAAAAAATATATGCACCCCTATGTTCAATGAAGCATTTTCTACAATAGCTAAGGTATGGAAACATCCTAAGTGTTCATCAATGAATAAATGGATAAAGAAGATGTAATACACACACATATATCACACACATACACACATAATGGAATACTACTCAGCCATAGAAAAGAAGGAAATCTTGCCTTTGTGACAAAATGGATGGACCTTGAGGATATAATGCTAAGTGAAATAAAGCACACAGATAAAGACAAATACCATATGATTTCACTCACATGAGGAATCTAAGAACAAAATGAACAAATGAAATAAAACAAAAATGAACTCATAGATACAGAGATCAGATTAATGGTTACCTGGGGGGAAAGGGCTGGGGGCTGGGCAAAATGGGCAAGGTGGGTAACTGTATGGTGATGGATGGTAACTAGACTTGTGGTGGTGACCACTCTGTAATGCATACAGATGTTGAACTATAATGCTGTACACCTGAAACTTCTGTGATAATTTTTTAAAAATCTAGTCAATCATTGGTTATAATATGCCTTTTATTGTAAAGTCTTTTATTTAAACAAAAAAAAATCGGTCTTTCTTCTACCCACTCTTTCATTGTCCTAACCACGCATGATGCCCTGGTTGGCGTTTCACTACTTCCATTCTGTCTACTTGCTTGTAACTTCAGACTTGACTTACTTACTCATTGTAACCACTTTTCCTTTCCTATCTTTTAAAATTATTTTACCTTTCTTTAGCGGTCTGTTTCTTGATCACTATCTCTTCTTGTTCTTTCCAGTGAACAGAAAACATCTAAAACTTGTCTTAAAAATTTTACATTATGTGTTCTATGATCATAATAATACTCTCAAGGACTTTTAGGACAATTTATAAAGCCTACAGTAACCTCAAAAACAATACTTTAAAAAAGAGAGAAAGAAAAAAGGAAAAAAGGGAAATGTCTTCTCTTAAAACATTTACTTTCTTAAATGAATATTCAGGCATTTAAAAAAGCTGTGAACACATATAAATGTTTTCACATTGGGAAATGTTTCTACTGGCTATGTAAAACAAAATTTGCACTTATAAATCATGTTTCATTATATGTAACTTATAACAGGTGGTCCCAACATATCTGCATACATTATAAAATTGAATATTATTAGGTTTATTGTAGGCTTTAAACAGAAAAAAAATCAATAAGATAATATAACTTCTTCTGACTAAAGTAGGCAATTTGAAAACTGATAAAAGTTAGATTATACTAACAAAAACAATTCTACTCTTATAGAAGTCATAAGAACTGGTATGCTAATTGAGCTAAGTAATATATACAATTTACCATTTCTGTTGTCTCATTACCACATGTATGTAGGAATACATATATTCATAAATTTTAGTTAAAGAAACACCCATCAAAATGGATTTATTTTATTCCATACCTGTATTGAGCTGATCATTGTGCTAAGGGCAAATACTGTGGCTGAATCTCTCAAAGTTGACTGACTATCAAAGGTTCCCTGAGTATCCATCAACAGGACTGCAACCTATAGGCAAGTAGAGTACATCATTAACATTTTTTAGAACATGTAGGGTATTAGGCTTACCACAAGGTTAACCCCATAAGAAGCAAACCATTAACAATGAATGCTTAACAGGTAATTTTTCATATGTGCCATGAATGCCACAGAAAATAAAGATACTAATTAGTTGCTGAATATTGTAATGGTTTTCACTGGTAATCCAACATATAGAAACAGCATTGAAACAAAGTGCAGATAGATGTTAGCTAGCTGATCTGCCATTCTATTGCCTCTACGATTTTGCTTACTGTGATCACTAGAAAGGGAAACAGGGAACATGCAATAGGATGCTACCTACTCCCCTTTTAAACTTACATTAAATGGCCAAAGTTAGTTTTCAAAAAGAGGATTTTCAATGGTCCTGAAAAGCGGTAACTGTTGGCAGGTGAAATTTGCTTGCATCATACCTTTTTACCATCAGGTTTATCGATAAGGAAGATTTCACTCCATATCTGGATTCCCGTGGTCTCTCGTTCAGACCCACCTCTCCATGAAAAACCAGTCAGTGGTTCATTGTAATCTCCAATCCAATCAACTGATTCCTATAAATTAAGAAAGTCTGTGATATTGAACTAGATACGTAGTACAGGTTTTTCCATTCATCCATTCCGGTTTGTATCCCTCTCCAACTCTAGTCAAAAGGAAACAACATAATGCACAGATGCTATTATATTGATACAATTACTTTATTTACTCATCCAAAAAATAATTACGGAGGAGTAACCATCTGTCATATTATGCTAGGTCCTGGCATAGGCATCATTCCAGATGAGAGGAAGCTCACAGCCTAACAGGGAGACAGACACGCTAACAGACCATTATGACGCAATACATGCAAGCCAAAACGGGTGTGTATATCAGACATACATGGAAGTGTAGGAAAAGAAACAACTAACTCTTATTCAGTTAAGATTTCATAGGAGAGGTGATGTTTAAGCTAAGACTTGAGGGATGTTTAGGAATCTTCCTAACTCAGGGAGGGCATTCCAGATACAAACAAAGAAAGGTATGAGAGAGCACATTATGCCAGGATATACACAATAATAATACACACAAATGCTTTGGTACTGGGGGAGGTGGGAGTGAATACACCAAGAGGAGAGGCACCTGGTAGTAGGTGCAGAAGAACAAAAATAGAACAAATCTGTTATACTTTCATCTGAGCAAATGCTATTTAACTCAAGCAACACGACAAGCATTATTGAGTATTTCATTCTAATCTCTATTTCACAAAATTAATGATTCATAAAATTATAAATATGCCTAAAGCGATACAATCCCAGAGAATGGAAAGTATGCTAATTCTGTTCATTTTCCCTATGTTAAGCACATATTAATACTGGTATGCTAAAAATAGAAAATGGTAAGAGTTCTGTTTGCTCTCAAAGCCTGAAAATATTTTGGTAGCTCTGTTCTTGATTTGTTTGGACTGAGGCTAGAGCTAGAAGATGTTAAAGTTAACATTGCAAAATTGTTTAAAAATGTCCTACCTATAAAATATCAATCCAAAATGGATAAGTATGGGATAAATACATACTATAAAGTTTCTTTGGCTAGTGTGTCCATTCTGCCTCAATATCCACATCTACATCAGAATTGCTATAGGTAAAAGAGAAGGAAAAATACTGCTATGTTATATCTAAACCCCCTGTTCCCCAGCTCTAATCTCCTACCTGTCCTTCTGCTTTTAATTTAGCCCAGGTCTCTTAAAGTCTCACATCTGTGCCACACTGTTGTCTCAAATGTTATGACACTGTTGGCTGCCTCTGGGTATGGGATAAGGGTGGGAACTGAGTGTAAAAAGATAACAGAACTTTGTGGGTAACAGCAAGATATATTTTATAGGATTTGGGGCTACCCAGATATTTACATTTTTCAATAAATAAATAAATAAATAAATGTACATTTAAGATTTGTGCATGTAACTGTATATAAAATTTATAACAAAAAACCTAAATAAATACTGAAAAATATCATAATATATATGGAAATACTTATAGGGAAGATACGGAAGTGTACTGAAGTCAGCAATTTACTTTGAAATGAATCAAAAAATAAGATGGAGTAATAGATGAAAAGAGGGAAAATAGCTGGAGACACGTGATATAGCAAGAATATTAGTTGAAGGTGGAATCTAGGTAGTGGATATTCAAGCTTTGTACAATTCTTTTAGCTTTGCTGCATGCTTGGAAAATGTCATAATAATGTTGAGGAAAATTTATTACAATACAAAAGTTATGAAAAAAGCTACTTGATATTTTAAACACTGTAACATGTAAAGTTTATAATCATATCACTGTCTGTGTCTATTTTTAAAGGAGTTTTAAAAAATAAGTTACATTCTAAGGGAAATGTAGCAAAGTGGCTCCAGACGAAAGTGGCCTATATAGCTTGGTGCCCAAAGCACCAAAGTTAAAATGGTTACTCCACAGCTTTTTTTAAGTAGTTCACCTTTAGGGTTCATAATAAGGGAAATGGAAATAGCAGCCACCACCAAAAAGAGAGTGACAAAAGCACAGAAACCAGAAAACTTTTTAAAGCACCTCCTCCCTACCTGGTTATACATGTATCTCAACATGAAGTCCATCAGGAATGATTTTCCTTTTCTAAATGCTCCAGCAACAGATACAGCAACGACCTCCTTGTCCCTAACAGCCTCGGAGAGAAGGATTCGATTTAGAGCAGTTTCATCTAATTCAAAGGAATGGTCATCTTTGACAATGAGGACTTGGACTGGTCCTGCCTTTTTCACTGGTTCCTCCTCTTCTGAGCTCCATTCATATGCCTTTTCTGAAAACCCACCTGTTGAATAAAACAAGAATTTATTCAGCAAATCATCACAAAATAACAGGAAATGTATCTCTCAACTCTCTGTTTTCAGTTTTCTATTTAATTGTCAGAAATATTGTTTTTGACAGAGGTCTACTTTTAGAAATCATCCCTAACATACAAGAATGTTAGAAACCCAGACCTTAATATCTGTAGTATATTACAAAGCAACTCCAGTGTGTCAAGTGACACATTCTTATATCTACAGCCTTTGTATTGTAACTTTGGAATGTCCTCCCACTTTGACTCCTGGGTTAGTCATGTGATTTGCTATAGCAGACATGACACAGCAGAGGCTTGAAAAAGCACTTGTGTGTTTCTATTTTGCTCTTTTGCCACTGTCATTCATCATGAGAATATTCCCAGACTAGTCTGTTGCAGGATGAGAGACCAGTTCCAGCCAAAGCCTGTAGCAAGCCAACCCCCAGCTATGTGAAGGAGTCCAGCCAAGATCAATAGAGCTGTCATAATAACCATTTCAACATGTGATCAATAAATACTATTGTTCTATGCCCCTGAGGTTTTGTGATTGTTTATTATGTACCATAACAGGCAATAAATAACTGATACAGCCTACAACCGCTTCCTTTAGAAAGGCAGTATAGTATAGTGGTTAAAACACAGGTTCTGGAAACAGACTGTGGAGATTCAAATCAAGGCCTCCCCATTTCTTACTTGAATAACCTTTAGCAAGTTATTTAACCTCTCCGTATCTACCTCATAAGGTTGTTGTAAATTAATAAATGCATGTAACACACTTAGAACACTGGCTGGTATATAATAAATGCTATTAGTATTGTTACAGATTTAGGAAACTAAAGCCAAATATGTAACTGACCTTGTCCAAGTAAAATAAATGGAATTTCTATATCAGGATGTTCTCTTGTGTTATATATTTATTCCTTTTAATATTCCAGCAGGGTATATATTATTATCTGTATTTTTGACACATGAGGAAGTTAAAAATTGAATTAAGTAATTTTCTCAAGATACCCACTAGAGTTCATACAGTAACTGTCAATTTGGGATTTGATCTCAGGTAACTAAACTACTTCCATCCCAGATCTTTCTACTATAATATTCTGTCTCTTTAGTGGAAATTAAATAACTCTTGGACAACACATAAATGGGCTCATTTGCTTTGTATCAAAAGGACAGAAAGACGAAACATACACCAGTTAATTCCTCAGATCAGATATGTGATCTAGCCTCAAATCAACCCTTAATAATATTAATTTTGAAACAAACTGGGCTCTTAAATAAGCTTTAATCTAAATTTTTGAAAATATATTTAAATAGACATTCTTCATGTGTCTATTTGATACAAAGTTTTATAACTAGAGAAAAACAAGGCAATTATATATCTCTTGGGATAATTTTAAATGAATCTTCAGATCACATTGATGTACATGTATATACATGTATCACACTGATAACTACATGTATATTACTGTTCATCTATAACATAGTGCTATTGAAATATTGCAAATCTAACACACAATTTTAGTTTTTCATTAGTGGAGATAGATACACACCAATACTTTATGAACAATTGTACAAAGCATCTAGACACAACAAAACCATTGCATTAGCCACAGATCAGGGTTGTTCTCTCTGTGAAGTTAAGAAAAATTGGTTTTATATCCCAAAGATAACAGCTTCTATACTGCCATATCACAGATGCTGGAGTCAGAGTCTGTTTAAATCCCAGCTGCACAATTTACACATATATGAAGCTGTGGAAACTATTTAACCCCCCAATGGCTCACTATCCTCCATCTGAAAAATGAGATTAAGAATGGTACCTATATCAGAGGCTTTGTGATAATTAAATGAAGCAATGTTCATTAAATGAAGACCAAAGAGCCTTGACAAATGGTACATGTCTAATAATGGTGACCGTTATTATCTATTATTACCTATTCATATTTGATTCCAGTACTACTTGTCCACCTAATTTCAGCCTCAGCAAAAGGTCTTTTTTGAGGATAGCAAATAACACATTTTCTTTGGTAAACCTTCTTACTTATGGTGTAGCTATAATCTAAGTACACAACTGATGTGAATCTAGGACCCTGGCTAGATAATATTTTGGACAGAAAAACATCTTTAGAGCTGAAAGCTAGATCACAGCTTTCTACAGACTGAAGTAATTCTCTACGATTGCTTGTAGCAAACTACATATATGCAAGAGGTACTCTAAATGGAATTTCTGGCTTGTAATTTTTTTCAAATATTCAACTTTACAACATGTTTAGAATTTTTTTCTAAGTGGCTGTACCAAATTTTCACTCTCCACAACTCCCAGCAATTTATTAGACAGTCTATTGATCCATATTCTTGCCAACACCTGGTTTTGCTGACTTTTAAATTTTTGTCAATTGGGTAGGTATAAAATGAGTGAGTGGTATCTCACTGTAGTCTTGATGTATATTTTTCTAAATGCTTATGAAGTGAGCACATGCCTTTAGCTCATTTTTCCTACTAGGTTGTTTGTTAGTAAGAAAAAGCTCTAAAGTTCTAAAGAAAATATATAATCAAATCCAGAGATAATAAATAAATATCACAACTACATAGTATTTATTATAGGAACTCAAGGTTAGTTTAACATTCAAAAAGCAAGCAATGTAATTGGCTACATTAAGTAAAAGAGAAAACGATACGGTAATTTTAGTAGATTCATAGAAGCAAGAATGAAAATACAATACTTATTTCTGATTTTTAAAAAACTCTCAACAAATTAGGAAAAGAAGAATTCCTTAATCTGATCAATGGTATCTACAAATACAGCTAATATTACACTTATTTTTGAGATATAGTTTTCCCTGAAATTAGGGATCTGACATGGATGTCAACTATCACTACTTCTAATCAGTATTATACTGGAAGACTTAGCCAGTGCAATAGGCAAGAAGAATAACCAAAAATAAAAGAATTGGAAAATAAACAAGTATCATTATTCACAGATGAAAAGACTGAATGTGTAGAAAGTCCAGAAAAATATACAGATAACTATTAATGAATTTAGCTAAGGTTTTGGATATGAAGTTGACTGGAGGGGAGGTAATTAGGTTTATTCACTTATTAATTTAATTTGTTTTTAATGGAAGTACTGGGGATTGAACCCAGGACCTTGTGCATGCTAAGCACACATTGTACCACTGAGCTGTAACTTCCCTCTTGAAGCTGATTTTTAAAATATTTTTTATATACTTGCGGCAAACAATTACAAAATGAAATTTAGAATAACATGAATATATAGTCAACTGATATGTTCTGGGTCAACCGATTTTTTATAACAGTTCAATTGGGATATAATTCACATACCATATAATTCACCCATTTAAAGTCAAAAGCCCATTTGATGGTTTTTAATATATTCAGAGCTGTGCAACTGTCACCATGATTAATTGTATAACATTGTGATCATTCCCCTAAAATACTCATACCTTTTGGCAGTCATCCCCATTCTCCCTTACCCATCTCTAGCCTTAGGCAACCACTACTCTATCAAAGATTTGCCTCTTCTGGGCATTTCATATAAATGGAATCACACAATATGTCATCTTTTGTGACTGTTTTCTTTCATGTAGCATAATGTTTTCAAGGTTTATCCCTATTGTAGTATGTATCAGTACTTCATTTTTTTAATGGCTAAAAGTATTCCATTGTATGGATATACATTTTGTTTATCCTTTCACCAGTTGATGGGCATTTGGGTTGTTTCCATTTTTGGCTATAATGAATATTTATGAAGAAGTTTTTGTGTGGACATACGCTTTCATTTCTCTAGGATGGTCATCTGATTCGTGACAAAAATGCTACGGCAATTCAATAGAAAAAGTCTAGTCTTCACAACAAATGGTGCTGGAACAATTGGATATCTAAACACAAAAACGTAAACCTCAATATATCACACCCTATATAAAATATTAATTCAAAATGGATCATAAATCTAAAGGTAAAGTCAGAAAAATACAAAACATTAGTAAAAGAGGTATATACATGTTCTCAGACTAGAAGACTATTATAAACATGTCAATGCTCTTCCCTGGATTCTTAGATTGGTTATAATAAATCAAATACTCAGCAATCTTTCTAGTACAAATTAACAAATTTCTTTCTTTCTTGTACAAATCCTTTTAATGAAGATTAACCAGCTCATACGGAAAGGCAAAGAGCCAAGAACACGAAGACAATCTTAAAGAAGGACAAAATTAGGGAATTTACGCTAACAGACACCAACAAATATTTAAAATCTCCAGTAATTGAGGCAGGGCAATGTTGTCACAAGGATAAAGTAGACAAATAGAGAAGACTAGAGATTTCAGAAAAAGATCACATATACACGATCACCTGACTTACAACAAGGTGCCACTGCAATAAATGAAGAAAGGATGATCTTAAACAAATGATGCTAATTCAACTGGATATTCATATAGGGAATCTTTATCCCTTGTACTCACCATAAATAAAAATTCCAAAATTAAAATATCTTAGATCTAAATGTGAAATAGGAAAACTAGACAGAGGATATAAACAAACAATTGAAAAAAAATGGTATCAAATGGTTATATATATGAAAAGATATTTATTCTCAGGCAAATAAAAAATGAAAAAATATATTGATACTTTTTTATATATCAGATTTACAAAGATCCGAAGTGTGATAATTCCTTTCATTAGCTGGGATGTGAATCTGTATCCTCAGGCACTGCAGCTGGGAATTTAAATAGATACAGCATCTTCAGGCAGCAATTTGGCAATTAATTATCAAAAATACAAATATACATACTCCCTGACTGAGCAATGCTATTTCAAAGAAATGATCCTTCAGACAGACTCATACACACGCAAGATACCAGAAGCAATGCTAATGGCCATCAACAAAGGACTGATTAATAAACTATAGTTCATTCATCTATGAAATATACGGTAGTTATAAAGAATAAGGAAGCTAATTTGAAACAATT